ATCGGTTAATCGTTTTGCTTTTACATCTCAATACTAGTTGCTACGACTAAAGTTAAATATGTGGCAAAGTCTCCAGCTAGTGATCAGCAGTCACTGTGACGATATCGACGATTTATAGTCCCTGCGTTTCGAATGGAAACATTGCGGATTTCATCATATTCAAAGAATTTTCCTCTATCAGCAAATATTGCAAGTACATTTGAGCACTGACATGAGACGCTGCGGAGGAACACATGAAAAAAAAATTCAAAACCCAGAAATACACCAAAGATTACTATGCTCTCAGCTGAACACAAACTCAGACATATTGTGCCACTGCAGAAATGTAAAAAAAAAGCCCCTCCTAACTGCATTTGTGTCTACCTACATCGCAAATTAGATTTCTTGTGCACTTGGCCCACCGTCTAACTAAATTTTTATGAAAGCAAAGCAGAAACGGCATCGTTTCAATGTTTATACAAACTCCAATAAATCTCTAATAACTCTCTGCGGACGATGGGCGCAAAAACGAATGTTGTTTGGTTATAATTTCTAAAATGCATCAACAAGCTCTTGCCTCCATGCAAGACTAAATTGCAACTCTCCAAGTAGTGAGGAAGACGTCCTCTAGGAAGCTAACGAGGTCGCGTCGACCGCTACAGGGTAGTATTCATAATCGTAAACCAACTCAAAGATACCTTTCACTGAATCCTTTTCCCATCTGTCTATCTTTACAGTCTGGATCACATTAACGCAAAACAACTGCCTATATGGGGGATTGAACCGCAGACCTTCTCTTTACAAGACAGACGCTCTGCCACTGAGCTATAGATGCCCTAGGACTTCATCCCAATAAATCGCCATCACTTTTACATGATCTACCAAAGTGAGATTATACAAAATGCGCTCAAACTAAATCAAAAGATCGACTGTTTTTAAAACCCCGAAAAAAAACATTCACAATAATCCCAAAAAAGAATGGTTTAAACTCAAAAACGAGGTTGTTACGCCAGGGTCATACACCGGTGTTTCGGAGGTACGTCCTTCTCGTCAATGACCCCCGCCCCACATTCAGCCCTGCATTGAAGCAAGGAGGGAGGCGTATGTGGTGATGGAACAGTGTACAGTGACACTGGTCCATCGCCACCCCTCAGTCGATGGATTTTTGCTGTTAGATCAAAACTAAATCAAAAGATCGATTGTTTTTAGTACCAATTTTTTTGTTTTTTTTGCTTCAATGCAGGGCTGAATGTGGGGCGGGGGTCTATGACGAGGAGGACGAACCTCTGAAACACCGGTGTATGACCCTGGCGTAACAACCTCGTTTTTTAGCTTAAACCATTCTTTTTTGGGATTATTGTGAATGTTTTTCTTTTCGGGGTTTGAAAACAGTCGATCTTTTGATTTAGTTTTGATCTAACAGCAAAAATCCATCGACTGAGGGGTGGTGATGGACCAGTGTCATTGTACACTGTTCCATCACCACATACGCCTCCCTCCTTGCTTCAATGCAGGGCTGAATGTGGGGCGGGGGTCGCTGCTCAAACTGTTTCGAACAGTGAGAGTCACACGACTTCGCATGGTCACGAAGATTGTCGGAAAGCATTGTCCTTACTGAATGATGAAATAAGAGAGGAAATTTTCGCTTAAATAAGAAATTGAAATATAATTAATATATAATTGGCTCAAAATATGTCATATCCTTATCAGATTAAATCATTTTGAGCGGGTCTGTAAAAAAAAAGCAGTCGATAGCAGATGTATGATTCATTTTAAAAGCCGCAAGCTCAACTGCCGGTCACCACAAAGTCAGGTAATACCATCATCCTACTTTGGGTGCTTAGTTTTACTCGGCGTCGATTCCTTTAGAGGATTATTTTACCTCAAGGGATCGACGGAACCGAGGGAGGGTGCTACTGATGAGTCCCAATAGGAGGAAATAGGCGCCTATATAGCACTAGACCTATGGCTCAAAATATGTCATATCCTTATAAGAACTTGAGGAAAAAGTTCCTTAACATCAACTGAATATTCAAAATTTATTCATAAATTCAAATAAGTGCAGCAGTGTTTATTCAGAAATGCAAAAAAGATGCAAAAATGTTGGGACTAAATTGTGGAGGTAACTGATTTATAGAATGAGACTGGGCGTACTTGGAGCATATTATGAATGCTCTTTATTTGGGACTAAAAAACGTAATTCGAGATGAAGAGAATCGCGATTAATGTGAATAAAAACAGAGGGATCTCATTTCTGTTATTCTTTCAAGCTCCATCTATTGTCTTCTGTTTAGCACTATTAAGATCTTTATCTTAAGATAGGATAAGAAAAGAGCGTCTAAGATTCGATGATGCATGGGTGTTTACAGTAATTAAAAATCTCTTTCGATGTTTGTCATTTCTCGAACAGATGAACTACGAGGTCTCTTTGTCATTATCGTTCCTTCATTCCAGGCAGCTCGTTATAGGAGATTACCTCACGTAACGACTTCTGATGCGATTACGGTTTTTTTTTCGTCTCAGTGTAATCTAAAAGCTAAAGCTAAAGCTCTAGGCGTTGATCGATCCATGAGGGATGCGCCATGCATTCAACTTCAATTTTTAACTTCGTTTGAGGTGATTGAATGCATATCTGGCCTTTACAATGACTCGCGGTGGCCTCCCGCTGAACCGAGTCAGTGCTACTTATCCTCCCAAACAAGTCCGAGACCTGCCTGGTACCAATTTACCGACCCCGGAGGGATGGATGGCTTGGTGAGCCATGAGCGCGAGATCGAACCATTGACCTCGTGTGCGACGCAGAGCACCTCTAACCACTGCGCCACATGCGCTCTCAATGTAGTCTAGATGGGAAATAATTTTTCGCTCGTTCATCAAGCATGATATAAACCTCCGTAAAAAGAAATGAAGGATCACCCCCGGATATTTTGCGTTATTAGGCTCCTATTTAAGATTTGGCCTCTTTTTACTGAACAAATGTAGTAGATTGCTAGTCGAGGTCAATTTCCTCACAGCGTTGAAAAAGCTGAAGTAAGGCGCTCCGTCGTGACTGCACGGAGATGTTGAGGGGTGGGGCGCTGAACGTGCACCTTACTCAGTGATAACCTGCATCACGAACCACTCGACGAACCTCTCCCTCATCCCCAAAATTCTCATTAAAGTGCAGATTCAGGTAAGTAATAAGTCACTAAATTCCATAGAAATCGCTACACTTTCCTTCCATTCGCTTCTCCAAAATGCACTGTTATTTGTGGAGGTGACTAAATTTGCCTAATTTGGCGGAGGTTTCAGAGACTGAATGCGTCTCTAATCGACAAAAATTCTGGTCGAATTCAGACTTTTTCAAAGTAAGCTATACAGGCGTGTTGTTTTAAACTCAGCGTATTTAGAACTGATGTTGCACGTTAGCAAAACACTTGCCTCCATGCGGGATTGAACGGCGGACCTTCTATTTACGAGACAGACGCTCTGCCACTGAGCTACAGAGGCCACGGAGAAGCGTATTGTCGATCTGTTACTGATTATAGATGCCCTTTCAAAGTTCTTTGAAGCTAATAATTTTTGTAATCAATAAAATGCATAACTAGAACCCTTTTGCCTCCGCGCGCGACTGAGCCACAGACCATCTGCTTAAGAGAAAGATGCTTTATCACTCAAGCACACCTGCCCGAACATTCTTAACGTGCTAATTGTCTCTAAAAAAAGCGCTTCACCAAAATGAGCTTCGATTAACGTTCTTACATACTGAGCATTTCCAGGATTTGTATATTGTTTGGATAGACAATTCCCTCCATGCGGGTTTGAACAATAGACCTGTTTACGGGGTAAACGCTCTGCCACTTACCAGTACATGCTGTAAGATGACCTGCGTATGCAAATTCTCGTCAACATAGCATGTACTTTCACAGTGATCTTTTCTTTTAAAATTTGTACTCAGTTTGAGTAGAACGCTCTGAAGCAAGTGTGTTTAGAAATGGTGCCATGTTTGAGCAAAGCACCTGCCTCCATGCGAGAATGTACCGGGGACGTTTTGTTACAAGACAGAGACTTTGCCACTGAGCTATACATTCTCCAACTGATTGCGCACTATAAAATCTAGCTGCAATCATGGCCCCTTTTAAGCTTCTTATGATGGTTCTTTCTGATTAGGAGGGGACAAGTGAGATACCGACCTCATTTGCTGGAGAAAGACTTTTCAAAGGAGTTTTAGCAACCATTCAATAGCAAAGATTTGAGGCTACAGCCACAAGTCGCCGGTTTTTCAGAACGCCCTTCTATAACGCTGTGATCTCCACACAATCTATGTCTCAGACGCGCATATCTCTCGCAGGAGAGAGCTCTTTCGTTGGACTATCAGCAATCATTCGATAGCGTAATCGAAATTTATTCCAACGCTGTGCTTATATTCTAAAAAGATCGTTTCTCTAGAACGCAGCAGGTAAAGTAACTTGAATTTCCATCTGCGATCAATGGCCGCATAGGCCAACTCACGTGCGTGTGCTCGAGGCGTCCACGTGAACTGCTGACGCGATACTTCTCTAAGCGCCCGTATGCCCGAAAAGTCCATGGTCGTCGAGTCAAGAAGTGGCTGCCTCATCCAGCCACGTTCGCATACGTGAATTGGCCCAAACTGGCCCTTCATCGCAGCTGGAAATCCAAATTTTTTTACTTGCCGCGTTTCAGAGAAACGGTCTTTTCATCATGTAAACACAGCGTTGGAATCAGCAACGATTACACCATCGAATGCTTGCTAAGAGTGCAAAGATAGAGCTTTGTCCGGCGAGTAATATGCGTGTCTGAAGCCACAAAATCACCTCCTGTAGCAACGTCAACAAGAGTAGTTATGGAGAACGAAATACGTGAGGACGTAGCCTCAAGTCTCAGCTTTCGAACGCTTACTAACACCTATGAAAAGTTCCCCTCCAGCGAATGACTCGGTTTTTCATTTGTCCCCTCCTAATAAGAAAGAACTCATATGACTACTTGTCTTAGATTTTGCATCGTTTTTTGAGCAAAATACGTACATCCATGCTGAATTGAACCGCAGACCTTCTGTTTACGAGACAGACGCTCTGCCTTTGTGCATAGAGGTTCCAGTGCCCTTAGTGTTAATAAATTGTTATCACTATCACATGCTCTACCAAAGTGAGATTATACAAAATGCTGCTTGAACTCTTTCAAACAGTGAAAGTCACACGACTTCGCACTGTTACGAAGACTGTCGTGCTATTATATGAAACTGATTAACTAAAGTTTTAGAAAAACATTTTCCTTACTGAATGATGAAATATCACTGAGGAGATTTTCGCTTAAATAAAAGGTTGAGGAAAAAGCTCCTTAACATCAACTAAAAATTCAAAGTTTATAATTCTTTCTATTTTGACTGCCACTTGCAGTGGTATGATGTTATTAGTATACCCAATATGTGGAGTACTGTGCAAAAACGTTTGCGTCAGCCGGGATTCGAACCCAAATCTCACTCTTTCCGGAAAGAGTGAGATTTGGGTTCGAATCCCGGCTGACGCAAACGTTTTTGCACAGTACTCCACATACCAAAGTTTATACATAAATTCAAAAAAAGCAGCAGTGATCATTCTTTAAATTGAAGACCACCATTATCAACGATTTTCTACCAAAGATCTGCAAGCATTCGATCTGCTTAAAAAACCATTCCTAGGGCTCCGAAACAAAGAAACTCTTGACATCCTCTTCAACTTGATCACATCTCTCAAATCGGCGGCTAAAAGTAAATGCTTAATTGAGCGGAATAGACAATAATCGGATAACGCAGCATCTGAGCTGTATACTGGGTGTGGCAAGACCTCGATTCCTTCCCGTTCACAAATTTTTTTTAGTCTTCTTTGCAGTGTGAGGTTTGGTATTGTCTCGCTAAAAGAGCAAGCTTTCGACGAATCAATGTCGGGTACTTTTCCTTCAGCGCATCGTAGACTCAGTCCAGCTGCTCGCAGTAGAGTTCAACATTGATGGCGATTCATGATTCATTTTCAAGATTCATGATGATGATGATGATGATGATGATGATGATGATGATGATGATGATGATGATGATGATGATGATGATGAAAGCTCTTTATTTAGGATTTAAAAGCGTAATTCGAGTTGAAGAAAATCGCGATTAGTGCGAATAAAAACAAAGGGATCTCATCTCTGTTACTCTTCCAAGCTTCATCTATTGTCTTCTGTTTAGCACTCTTAAGATCTTTATCTTAGAATACGATAAGAGAAGAGCGTTTAAGAATCGATGATGCATGGGTGTTTACAGTAATTAAAGATCTCTTTCGATGTTTGTCATCCCTCGAACAGATGAACTACGAGGTCTCTTTGTCATTATCGTTCCTTCATTCCAGGCAGCTCATTACAGGAAATTGCCTCACGTAACGACTTCTGATGCGACTACGGTTTTTTTCGTCTCAATGTAGTCTAGATGAGAAATAATTTTTCGCTCGTTCATCAAGCATTATATTAACCTTCGTAAAGATGAATGAAGGAACACACAAACACCCACTGATATTTTGCGTAATTAGGTTCCTGTTTGAGACTTGGCTTCTTTTTACTGAACAAATGTAGTAGATTGCTGGTCGAGGCCAACTTCCTCGCAGCCTTGGAAAAGGCGAAGTAAGGCGCTTTCGTCGTGACTGCACGGAGATGTTGAGGGCTGGGCCGCTGAACGTGCACCATAGTTAGTGATAACCTGCAGCACAAACCACTCGGCGAACCTCTCCCTCGTCCCCAAATTTCTCATTATAGTGCAGATTTAGGTAAGTAATAAGTCACTAAATTCCGTCGAAATCGCTACACTTTCCTTGCATTCGCTTCTCCGAAATGCACTGTTATTTGTGGAGGTTGTTGAAATTGCCTAATTTGGCGGAGGTTTCAGAAACTGAATGCGTATCTAATCGACAAGAATTCTGGTCGAATTTATATTTTTTCAAAGTAAGCTCCACAAATGTGTTCTTTCAAACTGAGCGTATTTAGAACTGATGTTGCACGTTAGCATAACACTTGCCTCCATGCGGGATTGAACCGCAGACCTTCTGTTTACGAGACATACGCTCTGCCACTGAGCTATGGAGGCTTCAGTGCATGTGGTGTCAATAAATTGTTATCACTATTACATGCTCTACCAAAGTGAGATTATACAAAATGCTGCTTGAATTCCTTCGAACAGTGAGAGTCACACGACTTCGCACGGTTACGAAGACTGTCGTGCTATTATATGAAACCGATTCACTAAAATTCAAGGAAAACATTGTCTTTACTGAATGATGAAATATCACTGAGGACTTTTTCGCTTAAAGGAGAGGTTGAGGAAAAAGCTCTTAACATCAATCAAAAATTCAAAGTTTATAATTCTTTCTATTTTGACTGCCACTTGCAGTGGTATGATGTTATTAGTATACCCAATATGTGGAGTACTGTGCAAAAACGTTTGCGTCAGCCGGGATTCGAACCCAGATCTCACTCTTTCCGGAAAGAGTGAGATCTGGGTTCGAATCCCGGCTGACGCAAACGTTTTTGCACAGTACTCCACATATCAAAGTTTACACATAAATCAAATGAAAGCAGCAGTAATTATTTTTCAAATTGAAGAACACAATTATCAACGATTTTCTAATACCGATCTGCAGGCATCCGGATCTGCTTGAAATATCATTCCTAGGGCTCCGAATCAAAGAAACTCTTGACATCCTCTTCAGCTTGATCACATCTCTCAAATCGGCGTTTACACAGTAAATGCTTTATTGAGCGGAAAAGACAATAATCGGACAACGCAACATCTGAACTGTATACTGAATGTGGCAAGACCTCGATTCCTTCCCGTTCATCAAAATTTTCTTTAATCGTCTTTGCACTGTGAGGTTTGGAATTGTCTCGTTAAAACAGCAAGCTTTCGACGAATCAATGTCGGGTTCTTTTCCTTCAGCGCATCGTAGACTCGGTCCAGCTGCTCGCAGTAGAGTTCAACATTGATGACGATTCGTGATTGATTTTCAAGATTTATGATGATGATGATGACAATGATTCATGATGAGACCATTTTGCACATCGTCATCATTTGATATCCGAAGTGTAAATCAAAATTCGATGCACTATAACTAGCGGCGTCGTGGGAGTGTCTTATGAAAATGTTCCCGAGATATCCGCATGACTTTACAATGACCCATACTGTCTGGGACGAACATGAAATTTGGATTATTCGCGGGTGTTGAGGAACTTTTCCTCAATCTAATAATTTTGGCAGGATTAACGCAAATACTTCCAAAAACCGTGCATCAATCAAAGTGAGAACCACATCCTTTCGAAACCACATAAGTCTCAGCTGATATCAGAAGATTTTTTCTAACTCTAGGCAGACTTTTATAGCCAAACATAAAATATATTTTAATAGCCAATCCTTAGATGAAAAGTTCTGATTCGAATGCTACTCTTGGTCAGTGAAAGGATCTGCGCACCACGTTATTCCAATCAAAAAGGGTTATGACCTCGCACCTTTTGAATGCGTTTTTTCAAGTTCACAGCGGATTTCTTGGCATTTTTTGTGAGTATCTGATTACCAGAGAACATCATAAGTAAAATACTAGGCTGTCATTGAAAGGACTTCTTTGAACGTATTTGCAACGAGAAGTTGTCCGGATGTCTCACGCTTTCGAATACGATATCTGTGCAACGCTGTCGTATTCCGTAGATTGTGTCAGTGATTCTTTGATTTCTACTAGAAAAGAGATCTTCCACTTAACTATTAGTAATCACTCGGTAGTTTAGAAACGAAAATTATACTATGAAGCTTGGTTTATAGAAAAGACATCTCTTTTCATGCTCGTAACAAAAAGACAATAACATTCTGCTTACGGAGTGGGTAGCCCGTTCTTTTAACTTTACAGCGTATTTAGGGCTGATTTTATGAACTTTTAGTTCAAAATATTCATTCATCAAACGATAACATGAAAGAACGAGATCTAATAAAAACAGTGACTACCTAAAAAACACACTACTCGTCATTTTGCAGGTTTGCACATCCAGCTACAACTGATATTGTGCATACATCAACCATTTTGTGTATTTTAAGACAATCGACAATATATCTCGGGGCAACTAAGCTGTGAATGATTACATTCTGCAGTTCACAGTAGGAAGTTATCTAAGAGGTGAGAACTGCACGAAGTGCAGGAAACTACATCGCCGACATTCCACTAAAAGGAACTACGTAGGACATGTAAATCAGTGTACATATCCAATAATAAAGTTGCCACGATGAATAATGTTCGTTTAGAGTATAAACGCTTATTTTGGCACTTCACTGACCAGCCTGCACTGTGTTATTTACTATGCGGTTCCCAGTGCCTCTGCCATTAAATTCGTTTTTTGTTTTTTTTCTTCTTCAACGTCATGAATAATCTGAATATGAATGACAGTATGAATAATAAATTCTTTAAGCTTCTCATAAGGCCTCTTATTAATACTTACAGTGCAATTCACGTGTCTCGGTCTTGCAGCCTCGTCAGTTGCACGGTGCAATTCGTAGACTTTCGGGGAGAAACTCCCCTACATAAAACAATCGTCGGCGATTGTATAAGTGCCTATCAAAGACTTCATAGAAGGCCCAAAACAATATATTATCAGATTATATTGTTTTGGGCAAGGTGTGAAAGAACAGTCGAATATGAACGTCATAGAATACTGGTTGAGCACGTCTCCTTGCAGTCTTAAAGATAACGTGATAATTCTGATGACTGAGCATATAAAAACATAATAACCGCAGAGCGATAAATAATGTTTTATATTTCTATGACTGTCTCAACTCCTGAAGTGCACTTCTGATTCAAATTGTTGAGAGCTATCGATGAACTGGCATCTCATGCAGTGAGCAGAACTATTTCTGACATGCTACTGGTTAGGCTGTAGTTTTCAGTCACTTGTGTAGACTTTGAAATGTTGTAGGAGATGAGAGGATATCAAAACCGACCGATTCATGATGTATTAATCAGTGCCAGAAGAAAAAATGGTAATACATTGGGCTGGAAAGAAGGTTCAAAGGCGCTTGTAAAAAATTGAAAATTTATTTAGAATTCC